GTTAGGCAGCTTTTTTCATCTTTAGGTGCTGTTCACATATTGCATCTTTTAGACCGCGGCTTGCATGTGCATTTTGGGAGTGATGCGCAAATGGTGTGTAACGATCATGTTTTCCACAAACACTTAGTTGAAAACATCTAAACTTTTCAGAATGCCACAAGCACATTTCGAGTCACATGATTAGAACTGACCAATCAGCTTCATACTTTGTATGCAATATACACATTTCGTTAGACTAATGATTTCAGACAAACACAGGGCACCCGAACACTGCAGTGCCTTTGATTTTCTCCATAAATAAATTTTGTATCAGAGCAGCAGCAATGTTTTGGTAGTTTGTCATCATCTGAGAAAACAGTTTATGGTCACCTAGCAACAACTGACGACATAAGGAATATGAGCGCAAAGTGCGTTCAAAATGGTGAAGAAAATGGTGTGCTCGTGCTTTTAAATGCGATATGTGAATGGCCCTTTAGACAGCTTTTTTTTCAAGCTGAGATATTGTAAAGATGCTAAGGTTTTCAAGAGTCAGTGTGGTGTAGCCGCTGTTTCTGAAAGTATATCTTAAGTTGCAGGCAACATTCATAAAGATGTTGACATTCTTTGTAAAGGTGTAGACAGATGTATTTAGCATTTGCGAGTGTGTAAACAGCACATTTATCGTGTAGTCCGCTTTTCCAAATGTACAGGTAGTGTTTGTCAGAATGTGTAGGCAGCAGTTCAGACAGTAGCTACTTTTGCATCTGCAAAAGTGTGTGCAGTCAGTGTTTGTAGAGGTGTAGACAATGTTTCTAAAGGTGTAGTTAGCATTTAGAAACTTTTCTTAAGCTGTAGACAGCATATGTAAAGATGTAGGCAATGTTTCTAGAGTTTTATGCGGCTTTTCAAGAGTTGTTTGTAAAGGTGTGGACAGTGTTCATAAATCTGTGGGCATTACATCTTAAAGTGTAGGCAATGTTTGTTAAGGTACAGACACTCTGTGTAAAGGTGTAGGCAGCATTTCCAAAGTTTTCAGTTGCATTTCTAAAGTTGTACACAGCTTTTGCAAATGTGTAGCATTTGTGAGGACGTAGATGTTGGTGCAGGCAGCTTTTTTAAAGGTATAGGCAGTGTTTGAGAGGATGACGAATACATATCTCAAGATGTAGGCAATAGTTCTAAGGCATTGTAAAGCTCTAGGCAGTTTTTCTAAAAGTGTAAATAGACAGTCTTTGTAAAGTTGTAACCCAAACCTAGTCCTTGAGGGCCTTACCCCTTAGTCCTTTAGATCCAACCCCAACTAGACAAACCTAAAACAAGCACTTGCTGGTCATTATAGAACACATGTAAAACTCAGATCCTAAAGGGCTACAGCTCTGCGCAGTTTAGCTTTAACCCTAATAAAAACACACCTGATCAAACTAATTGAGTCCATCAGATTATTGCTGCAGTCACACAAGAGTTTGAGCTTGCAAATTTCTGTCAAACAGCGCTGTGAAAAGGGCAGGATTAAACAAGTTGATTCGACATTAAAAAAGAGGCAGATTGGTCCATATTTTGAATAATTGTACAGAAAAGTCATTTGATGCAATTTCGCAAGTCAGATTTCACCAAGCTTGAACTTTGCAACGTAGGAACATGCCTAACTTTCCGGTCGGTCGCATTCACATGCGTATGAATTCTATCGGGTCTATAAATCTATAAGTGTATAAGGCCAAAAGACCAGTGTGACTGTGGCTTTATTTGAAACCTAGAGACAATTGGGTTTAAGCCGGGTTGGGACTAAACTCTGCTGAGCTGCAGTTTAACACCCATGTACAAAAAGATACATGTGTTTAGGCTATTTGCAGTTAAACTCTGCAGGACATCAGCACAACATCCATTCCTGGAGGGCTGCAGCTCTGCACAGTTTTGCTCCAATCAAACACAGCTGATCTAGTGGTGTCTGGTAGTCTTGAACATCTTGATTAGTTGAATAAGCCGTGTTTAGGGTTGGAGCAAATCTGTGCAGAGCTGGGGCCTTCCAGGATGTGAGTTTGAGACCTGTGCTGTAGACAGTTTTTGTAAAAGTGGAGGGTATGTTTGTAAAGGTGCACTAAACTTGTTCCTGGAGGGCTGCAGCTCTGCACAGTTTTGCCCTATTCAAACACAACTGATCTAGTAGGGCACAGGTGTCAAACTCAGTTCCAAAAGGGCCACAGCTCTGCACAGTTTAGTTCCAACCCTAATTAAACACACCTGATAAAACTAATTGAGTCATTCAGGCTTGTTTGAAACCTACAGGTAAGTGTGTTGGAGCAGGGTTGGAACTAAACTGTGCAGGGCTTCGGCCCTCCAGGAATTAAGTTTGAAACCCCTGTAGTAGGGTCTAGTAGTCTTGAACACCTTGATTAGTTAAATCAGCTGTGATTAGGATTGGAGCAAAACTGTGCAGAACTGTGGCCTTCCAGGAGTTGAGTTTGAGACCAGTGCTGTAGACAAGTTTTGTAAAAGTGCACCAAACTTGTTTCTGGAGTGCCAGTGTCCTGCAGAGTTTAGGTCCAACCCTAATCAAACACACCTGAACAACCTAATCAAAGTCTTACTAGGTATACTTGAAACTTCCAGGCAGGTGTGTTGAGGCAATTTGGAGCCCTCCAGGCCTGAGATTTTTGTCCCCTAGTGTAGACAATGTTTCTTTATTTGTAGAGAACTTTGTCCACATTTTTACAATGTTCAAGTTTGGAAGTGTTCATAAATCTTTGGGCATTGCATGTTAAGTGTAGACAATGTTTCTTAAGTTGTAAATAACCAGGGGTACCTAAACTTGTCATACTAGAACACGTGTCAAACTCTTTTAGGGCTACAGCTCTGCACAGTTTAGCTTTAGCCCTAATTAAACACACCTGATCAAAATATTTAAGTCATTCAGGTTTATTTGGAACCTACAGGTAAGTGTGTTGAAGCTAGTAGCATGTGGATGTTGAAGCCAGTTTTTCCAAAGGTATAGGCAGTGTTTGAGAGGCTACATGTTTCAAGGTGTAGGCAACAATTTTAAAGGTAGGCAGCTTTTCCCTAGCTACGAACTGTATTTGTTAAGGTGTGGGTAGTGTTTGTAAATTTAAATTTAGCACTTTGGGCAATGGCTTAAGGTATAAATCTATCTTAAGGTATAGGCAGTGTTCCTAAAGGTGTAGACCAGGGGTGTCCAAACACGGTCCTGGAGGTCCAGTGTCCTGCAAATTTTAGCTCCAACTTTCCTCAACACACCAGCAAGGATGTTTCTAGAAAGCAGAGTAAAGCTGCGGTCACACTAGAGTTTGTGTGTGCGAAATTCTGTCGTGCGGTGTTGCGAAAAGGGGCAAGATTAAACAAGATGATTAAACGTTTAAAAAAGCGAGCGATTGCTCTGTTTTAAATTTCTGTCCAGAGAGGTCATGTTTTGATCCTCGATTGGTCTCATGCAGTCAAGTGATGCGATTTCACAGGTCAGAGTTTACCAAGCTTGAACTTTGCACCGCAGCAACCTGCGAAACTTGACGCATGACCCTGCATTTCCGGTCTGACGCATTTGCGTGTGTATGAATGGAAGTCTATAGGAGGAAAAGCCCAGTGTGACCACAACTTAAGAGCTTGATTAGCTAGCCCAGGTGTGTCTAATTGGGGTTGGAACTAAACTTTGAAGGACACCAGCCCTCCAGGACTGAGTTTGGACACCCCTGGTGTAAACAGTCTGTAAAGTGGCGAATGTTTGTAAAGTAAATGTGCCAAAGTGTCGGCAGTGTTTTGAGAAATGTTTCTAGAATTTGAGAATGCAGCATTTTAAACGTGTTTGCACAGGTGTAGGCAATATCTTTTCCTGTAGTTATAGAGTATAGATAGCACATTTCAAGGTGTAGGCATTTCTATTTAAAGCTTCTTTTTAAGATTCTATGCATTGAATGTTAGAACTGGATTATATTCAGGGCAGTAGCCACATGCTTTTTGGCACTTTTTAGCTGTCCATTTCACTCCTTTTTTAAATGTTATCTGTCAAATGGTGCAAATGTACAAATGGCAGTGCAAACGTTCCATTTGACAAGACCAATTTTTATGTTGTACTATGCACTTACCTCCCTACACTTTTCAATTAATTTGCTGTTTTGAGGGCAAGATGTCATTTAGGACTGCTCTGTTTTTGCACCTTGCTGATTGATATCACTATGGAACCTCCATAAGGAGGTTCTGCCTCCATGATGAGTTCACAAAGCAGATACAGCTGCCTGCTTTCCTGTGTTATAAAGAAATGTTAAATTTATGACTTTGGAAAAAAAGGCTGTATCTCACCGCACAGACTGATGCTTTGTGAATGTGACAACTTCCTTCTAACTTCCTTTTGAATGCAACCTCCTTGTTTCTGAAACTAACCTAAATCATTTTGCTCCAGAGGAAAATGCGTAGCAATCTATAATGTAACAGTTTGATCTTAGACCTAGTGCCTATAGGCTTTTTACTGTCTTTAATATACTTAGTCTGAACAGCAAAAAATACATTTGACTCGCAAGACGGAAATCAAATTCACAGATTATAGCAGTTTGGACAGTTAGGACCTGATCATGCAGAATTATAATTTTTGCAAGAGTACTCTTACGTGCCTGAAACTGAAAAAAGTCAAAGCACCCAATGACATTTGTTTTGTGCACAAGACTTGAAGATTTGGAGATTGCCTAGAAAAGTACACTGATCTTTTAAAGCTAACCTTTTGTTTTCAGACCTAAAAAGCACATTCTGTATGATCGGGTGTATAGTCCAGAAGACTAGATAAAAGTCACAAATTTTGTGTAGTATAAGCTAAGCCACATTTTCCAGTCTCTTTAAAATTCCTTAGACTTACCTTTGAAAACTTCTTACCTTCACACTTAACCCTATACATTTGTACAATCTTTACATGTACACAGGATCTATTACAGTAAATGAGTCATTTTTCTTTGGAGTAAAACCGAAAAAGAAAGCATGTGACCTCAGTATTGTTTAGAGTGTTCATCTCTCTCTTTCTGTCCCAGAACCAGCAGCTGTCGCCTGCCGGGGGTGGAGTGGGAGTGGAGGAGGAGGAGCAGGGAGAGCAGGACAGCCTCATGCCCTCCGACGAGGCCAGTGACTCTCGCTCCCTCCACCGAGGAGGCTCTAGCTCCCTGCATCCCCCAGAGGACGAGGAAGAAGAGGAAGAGGAGGAAGATGATGATTACCAACCCCATCGCCACTCGAACCCCTACCGTGACGTTTACCCACCTAACCGTAACCACCCGGGTGGGATCCACAGTGCTAATGGACACGAGTCACAGGACCGACTCCTGCAGCAGCGAGACTCGCAGGACGGACACAACCAACGTAACAACCGACAGCGCTCGAGAGCCTGGCCGAGAGACAACTACTGACCGGTCAGCTGCAGGAGGGGGTTGAGTTGTGAATTGGGGTGAGGAACTGAAAAAGCAGTGTTAGTGGATGAAGGTTGATGAAAAGATCCTGTCGTTTTCTAAGCTCATGTGGTCGTCATCGTCTTTGGTGGCGCACGGCATGTGCTTTCAAAAGACAGAGCAGCTTTTCTCCTTTGAGATCAAATGCATGTTCGTTTTGAAATAATAATTGAGCTTCCTCTGAATACCCTAACCCCACCCAAGTCAAGTAGTACTTTATAATCATAAGCTCTCCCTGAACCTACTGAGCACAGAAGGCATTATAAGAAAAGGAAAAGCACTTTTATAGCATGGGACGAAAGACGTAGCATTTTGTTGCATCATTTTTTTTGCTAGCGCGCTTGTAAATGTGAATATTATTCACCTTGTTTTGGTTCAAGCCCTCTTTTGTGGTGTTGCCTGATTGGAGCACTTGATGTTTACTTGTGTATCATTCAGGCAACTGACATATGAATGATTACGTTCACTGTCACATTCACAGATGTAGCACACACTGCCGCTTGCAGAAGCACCACGTAAATGCGGTACATGTCAGATAGGAATTCAGGGTTACGCTCTACTTTCGTAGAGTGACTATAGTCTGAGTTTGCACATGAGGTGAATTACATCTCCAGAATGAAGAGAAGCAGTCCATCTTCCTGCATTTCCGCACTGCCGCATAAAGAAAGAACCTAATTAGGTCAGTGTCATCAGTTTCTTTTTCTGGGAAATGAGAAGGACTAAAAATTGGAGTTATTTTATCACGCAACAGTAGATCGGTGTCCAGATTTTTCTATAGAAGGTTTTTCTATGTACCAAGTTAGGTGTCCCTTTTGGGATAGTCATATGTGATGCACTGAGAGTTGCAGAAAGGTAGATTATATATTTTACTATTTACGAAAGATAATATAAGAAAAAAGAACACTTCATAAGATATGGCATGGGAGGACAGTAAATCCCGCCTTTCATTTAGAGACACTTTTAATGGCAAAAACATTTTGATAGGTTTTGCCTAGAACTTGCATGCACATTATGCCAAGTTCAGACTGCATGATTTTCAAAGTAGTCATGCTTTCACACTGCATGACTCTCTGGGGTAGCGTTCTGTCACAGCTACGTTTACACTGTAGGATGGATCGGTGAAAGGGGGGTTTCACACTGCAAGACTTCAAAATAGGAAGAATCGCAGACAACTTTGTCCAAACTACGTCTAACAACCAAACACATGCATGAAGTAACACGGAAACATTGCAAAGTCATATCTTTAATTATTAACTACATAATGGAAAAAGAGGGTAGAAAATGTACCTATTTTGCTTACTTGGCTTTTGAAGAGAATTAGCAACTTCTCCTCAACTTTTTTTACTTTTCGACCCAGTTGTGGTATTGCTTAGACGACACGTCAAACAGACATGGGTGCTCCTGCCATATTTCCACTAGTTTTCCTCCATTTCTTGGGTGCAAATAAACTAATAATGAGCACTTTTCCCGCAACCTCCTGCTGGCCTACAGGTACTCATACTAGTGGATGCTGCTCTCTCATTGGCTGTAGGTGATCACTGATGTTATTTTCAATCAGAAAACATTTCACACAGCATGATTTGAATCGCCGACAGGCCCAGATATTTACCACGCCAAATATCTCACGGGCGTCTCCAACTTATCAGCGATTCTCTCAGATCGCGTTTTTGATAGTTTCCACTGTGATTGTCACGTGGACGAGCACCGATTTGCCTGTGATTTCAGGCATTTGTCTGCAATTTCTTAAAACCTGTCGGCGTCATGCAGTCTGAACTCGGCATTAGCGAGACTAACTTAGTTTATAAAGTTGCAGAAGCCAAATGAACATTTGTGATACCAAGAACTGGCAATTCTTCATGTTTTGAAGCTAATAATTGATATATAGACTGATGATATCCACAATAATTTATTAATTTGACCCTGTCAGAGACCAACACGAACAACAATCGCATTTTAAAGATAAGAAAAACCACCTTTTAGTTTTAGGCAATAACCTCATCAGGAAAAGCATTCTAATGTTTTGTTTACAACCTGCATGAACATTAGATAGACTAACCTGATGTAAAAAGCAGCTGATGGCAAATTTACATCTTTGTAATTGTTTTTGATTTTCATATTTAAGAACAGATATAAAATTTTGGCCAAAATCAATAATGGTAACTCTTTATATCTGAAGGTCAATAACTGTAATAGTCCTCTATTTTTGTTCAATGGCTAAGAAAACCCCCCACACTGCCGATATCTTGTTTTCCCTCTTTGCAACTGCTACTTGCTTAACGTCACCAATCAAAACCCTCATAGCCAACAGCACACTTATGAAGTGTATCAACTGGCAAAAAAGTCCACAGTTTATAAGCCGATAATGTATTTTCTTAAACTTTAGAAATCAGCATTTTTCTGCCGATACCGATATGGTTGCTGATGTATTGTGCATCACAATTTTTTTTTTTAAAGATGGTGAACAGTTATCCCTGTTAAAGCGAAAAAGTTGTACTGCAAACTAGCATTACCAAAATTGCCCTCTGATTGAACTGCCCAAGAAGACTGTTGTTACTATAAAGTAGTGGATCTAGCAAGAGAGTAATCTTCCTCTGTCCTCAATTTCTTGCCACTCTTTTCTCTCCAAGGCTGTGGGTGACAGTTTTTGTGGCCTACTTAAAGTCTTAGATTGTTTTTGGTGTCCCTTTGCTAATCTAATGACCTTATTGGTGATTATATTAGCACAGACCAACCAGGATTGTAATGACCAAATGAAAGAAAGTTTCTCTCCTTTTTCATTATCATGACTCTAGACTTGGATGTTACCTGTAGCAGCTTGGGCTAAGGTTTATCCAGTGTAGGACAATTCAAACTGGCCTTAATACGTACCTGTATATCACAGGTGTCAAACTCAGTTCCTAGAGTGCCACAACTCTGCACAGATTGGTTACAACCCTAATTAAACACACCTGACCAAACTAATTCAGTCCTTCAAGCTTGTAAGTGTGTTGAAGCAGGGTTGGAACTAAATCGTGCAGGGCAGTGGCCCTCCAGGGACTGAGTTTGACACCCCTGCTGTATATCTTTAAAACTGCATGTCTCAAATACAATTATTTAGGACTATTTGCACATTAGGGTTGGAACAGGACCTTTAGAAAACTTATAAGGGTAGAAAAATCTACTCTCGTTTTTTTGAAGGGGTTGGGATTGAGTGGGACGGCATTTTAAAATCTGCAACAGAATATTAGTATCGCATCTAAGAATAGATAGTGTATATATATATATATTTACTGAATGAAATTTCACCAGATCCTGAATATAATTATTTAGAACGTTACTTTGTATTTATGGATCTGTATGTTTACAAAGTCAGGACTGCTCTCAGTCAGAGATTGTTGACGTGAGATGCATTGAAATATATGTAACGTCAGTTGTCGTACGGTTATGTGAAGTCACATAAAGTTGCAGTACACTCTCATGTAGCGCTGTAGTCACTGATTTGAGAATTTATAAGAAAACAGAAATTGCTAATGCATTTTTTGTGATGGCCTCTAGATTCCATTACTAAAAATGGCCAATCAGATATTCTTACTTTTTCTTCATTACAAATTTTTATCATTCAATTCAATTGTAGGACATACATTTGATTTTAATAAACTACATAAACTACACAGTTCCTTAAAAACATGCACAGAGACTTGAGTGAATGTATAGTTGCATGCCTTAACACTTCTAGTCCTCAGCACTAACGTATTGTCCTCCAGGGGGACGGTGCTAAATTGACTGTCCCTCGATTGATTGTGTTGCGTTGATTGTAATGGATCCGTACATTCCCAGAATGCACTTTCAGAAACATCCCTCCTCACGTTAGATTGTAAAGACTATTGACCACAATTGAAGGTTGAGCCATTAGTGTCCAGCATAGTCACCAACATAGTTTGTTAGCATCATAGCTTAATTCTAGAGCATATTAGTCTCTGAAATACAAGGGAAACAACACCTACTAGTGGCTACTATATTACATTGATGTGGTAAAACCAATAGACCTGAAATATACTCTACAAAAATGACATCAGAGTGTTTAAAATGTGAGATCATAATGATCTTTAAACTCTCTCTTTGCCATGTCAGTGATTGGTGTAAAGGAGAAAATGTTGATTAGTAAAAGACAATAGCTACATTGTCATCACCCTTCAAATTATACAAACTTAAGTTGCGAATTGGTAAAAAATTTAGCAAGTAACAATATATTGTAAAGAAGTTTTTGTTCTTGTGTAATACTGAAAGTAACATGTCACATGGTCAATTTTTTTATGATATTTTGTGTATTTATTGGTAGAAAATGGCTCCTTATGGCTTGATGCCATAAAAGGCCGTATTGCATTGCACAATTCAAAAAAGGTTGACCTGCTCATCCATTAATTCAAAATCCTCAGTTCATCTGTGAGATCACTTTCTATTTGTGTGTTGAAGACGAGTTAGGTATTTACGAGTTGAATGTCACACCATAATATCATTATTCCCCGCAGTGTCGTTATACAGTAAGTGGGGAAACTATACACTACCTGAAGTCTTATCGCCTATCCTAGGTTTAGGAACAACAAATAATAACTTGACTTCTAGTTGATCATTAGGTATCAGAAGTGGCTTATATGAAAGGCAAAGACCTCGAGATTATGCTTATTTTACCAAAATAAAATATGATCATGCCTTGATTTTTAATTATTTAATTAGGGCAGTAAGGTCTGACTTTTAGAGAAAAGTCTTGTCACTTAACTGAAATAATGTACAGTATAGAAAATAAAAAGTCACGGTCCAGTGGAAAAAGAGTTAATATTGTGTATGACTTGGAGGTTAGGAAGCTATTGTGTATGACTTGGAGGAAGCTTGGAGGTAGAGATCTGCAAGGGTCAAAATTTTTAGTCCCGCTCCCGCAAGTTTTATTCCACATGACCGCTCTTGCCATATATTCAGCCTTTGTTTGCCCTCTCCTGTGGATTGTAATGTAATGGGCAGCACAAATGTCTTCATACCTCAGGTTGTTGATATTACCATCCACTGCAGATCTCTCACACACCCTCATACTGAATGTAACCCCAAACCATGATTTTTCCTTACCAAACTTGACTGATTTCTGTGAGATTCTTGGGTCCATGCGGGATTTAATAGGTCTTCTGCAGTATTTGTAATGATTGTGATGCAGTTCAACAGATTCATCGAAAAAATCTTCCTTCTGCCACTTTTCCAAATGATCAACTAGAAGTCAAGTTATTATTTGTTGCTCTTACAACTGTGGTCGACGACAAGACTTTTGTCAGGCAGTGTATGCCTTGTTATTTATAAAATAGCAGGTGGAATTCATGGATGTAAAGTCAACCCAAGGGGTCACCAGTGACCAAACACAACTTAAGCGAATTCTTTGCTATCGGAGTTAACACACCCTACTGTATTTTATGTAATTCATCAAAAGTAGGTACAACACCAACTTGTGCTGCCCAAAGTGACTTGAACGCACCTGATATCATTATTATGACTTGCCAACTCATAAAAAGAAATGGCCAAGGAGAACTTGAAGACAGCATAAAACCTCTAAGGAACCCCTTATAGATGGGCACTGCCGAAATTAAAGACCTTTTCTTGGCATTAATGTTTGGCTAACACATTTATGCCTCTTTTGGGTAAATATGTGTTCAGATAAACATATTAACAACCTCTGTCATGATTTTTAGAATGATTTAGCTCTTTTTGAAATCGAGCACATTTCGAAAACCTTGCAAAAGTTTGTGCTAATTGAAACCAGGCTAGCATATGCTTAAATATGCTGTAGTGTCCCCAGTGGCATGGAGAGTGCAATGCAGATTATCTAGCTAGAGTCATGTCGAGTATGTTTCAGGACTAATGAGTATTTCTATG